CTGCTGGAGGTGATGCCAACCTCAAAGGCTGTGCAGAGCCTTCATGGGCATTTCTGGCAGAGGGACATGGCAGGAGTTCAGCCTCCTGTAGAAGCCACCCTGCCTGTCTACGTGAGAGCAGGGCTGGAGGCAGCATAAACCTGGTCTTTTCTTTCTCTTCAAAGCTTTTAACATCCCCATTACGCACAGTCCGAGGCACGCGAGGACGTTGCTGTGCCTCTGTTTCTTCAGCTGTTACATGGGGATATTATTATGCTCTTGTCTCAGATGCTGAGAGGGTTAATTAATTATGTTTATGAAACCCTTTGAGATTCTCAGATGAAAGGTGGCTTTGGAATTGTTAGGTGTTATTATAAGAAAAAAAGAATGATTTTATTGCTTTATGTTAATGGTTAACATCTGCACCACAAAACCTGCTTGATCACATAAAGATTCTGCTAAGTATTTAATCCTAATTTGCAGGCTGATGCATATTCATTTTATTTAGAAGATTAATTTAGTCATCAAAGGTTAATCTGCCTCGGGTTTGTAATTAGACAGAGCAGTGACTTGGTGTCTCTGGGCTCACCCAGGTTGCCCTGGGTTTTCTGAGTGGGCAGGGCTGTAACTGTCACGTTTTCACTTCCAGGCAGTGCTCAGAGTGGGCTTAATTTTTGGAGAAATGGTGAGTGGTAAAAGCCTTGGCCAGTTTGGAGATTAAAAATAAAAGGAGAGGCGCAAGCCAATGAACAGTCAATATAGTGAATCTCAGAATGCTACTTTGATTCATCTCTGGCAGGTTTACTCAATGTGATGTCAGGGGAATAAGCAAGGGATTTTTTTGTATAAATATGTAAAACTGATTTAGCAGATTTTACAATCTTTGCTGTATGAATCCTGCCTCTCTTTCAAAATTACTGATTAGCAGTATGCAGAAAGTTTCTGAAATGAAAAATCTGTGAGGCTTTCTGCTGAAAATCACAGATTTTAACTTTTAGCTCCTGTTAGGAGTCATTGTTAAAAGGTCATAAAATGTGATCTGTAGCTGCTTGTTCCTCTGAAAATTAATCCTTTTGTGCTTAAGTTTGGCTGCTTTAATCATAAGTCACTAAAGAAAATGCGGTCCTTGTGGAGAACAAAAATCATGTTTCCTTTGCAGGTACACCAGAAGGCATCTTTAATTACTGTTTATAAAGCTGGCTGTTACTAAGTGTGAAGGATTATTAGTGCCAGGGTATTGTCTTTTGAAGTGAGGAAGAGCAGTGGATGCCTGTGTCATGTGCTCATGGCTTCCCCTTTGTGCAGCAGTGGGGAGGGTGATATCAGAGGGTGTGAGGCAGCGAGGTGGCCTCCAAAAATCTGGGGGTGGGACACCAGGGTGGCTTGGGACGAGCTCATCCTCACTGTCAGTGTGATGGGGTGGTCAGAGGGCAGCTCTGTGCCTCAGGGATGAAGCTGACACAGGGCAGGGGAGCTGGGTATGGGAGACAGAGCTGGGAAATGGCAGAGGAAAACCTCGCGAATGGAAAATTTGTCACAAAAGCAGCGGTTTGCCCAATATGAAATCAATACGTGCTGCAAAATAAGCGCTGTAAATGAAAATAATGATACTAGAATTTAGGAATTTGGCCAAAGCTTTACGTTTCATTGCAGCTTGGCTTTGGTTGAGTTTAGAATCCAGATTCCATAGGGGTGGCTGCTCTTTTTCCCCAGCACAGCGCTCGCATCTCTATTATGATTTGCCAATTTTCCCCTCCTCTTTCTGGTGCAGAACCTCAGAGCATCCAAGAAGGGATTTTGGAGACCATAAACAGTTCTTAATTGAGAACAGCCCAGAATCAAGTTAAGTGCTAGCTTGACTACCAGAATATAAATTAAGCTCTTTTATTAAAGCATTGTATTTTAATTATTATGAAGAGCAAGTGGCCTAACGTGAAAAAGCTTTTAACATAGCAGTTATTTGCTTGATAGCTGATAAGTTAATTTTGGATGGATGATTACAGCTATTGCTTCTTGTCTTCTTCACTTTCATTTTTACTTGATCTAATGACTGTTTACTGATTTTCATTTGCACTCATGGTGAACTTCTAATTCAATTGGTAATAAATTCAGATTGGTTGGGGCCTGTTATTGCAATCATGTTTCCTATTTCCAGTTTAAAAGGCCAGTGGAGTTTTGCTGGTGTTTTGAAGGAAGTTGGAATTGTTTGGAAACTGATGATTTGCAAAGCTGTTTGCAGGCTGACCGATTGGTAATCAACAGTAAACACTTTTCTGTTCTTTACAAGAAGGATAACCAGCCATGCAATGAGAGTACGTGATGGCAATTCACTAAAACCCGGAAAAAAAACCCCAAACAGCCAGAGCAGATGTCACTCTAGTCAAAAAGTACTCAAAAATAATGTCACCCTTGCATTGTTCAAGCCCTTCATTTGTAGCCAAGAGACTGAGAGGGGAATTACACATGTTTGCTGCAGATTTTAGACTGTTCATGCTGTTTTAGTTCTCTCCTCAACCTGAACCTTTAGTGTCTTCACTTGCATCTTAATCCTGAGCTGATTTGTCTGAATGGTAGACAGGTACCACTGAAATGTGGATCGTGAGCTTCATCTGTCATCCCTGCTGCTGTATCATTGACTTCAGTGAGCTTCCAGAGGAATGAGTCTGGCCCACAAGCGGATGTGAACTGTCAAGAAGATAAACCTCTTTCTCATCCATTTGAAATGTTTGTGGGAAAGAATGCCCTAAATATTTAGCAGCTTGTATAATTTGAGAGGCAGTGCAGGGGGTTTTTGAATTTTATTTTTCTCCCTACCTTTCCATTTTCTTTATTAAATAGAGGAAAACCTTGCCTTAGGCCCAGTGTGCTTATGGCAGGGAAAAAATATCTGCCAGAATCTCTATTACTGCTCAGGCCTGTATATATTGTTATTGCTCTTGTATTTGTAATAGCAAAAAGTGACTATGTCGCGTATAAAAAATCCTATTTGCAGAAAAATACCCTCCTCCCTCCACCTTTTCCAAGCCCAGTGCACTGTGTGAAGAATCCAGGAACATTTATGTTGGTTCTGTCAATGCAACAGGGCTTGGAGCAGCATGGATTAAGTGCTGGCCATGTGTGTGTTGATTGATGCAGCTCCTGAAAACAGGAGGGAACAGAGATGTTTTAAACTGGTTTAGCTTCTTCTCCTTGGCATTTTTGAGAGTCAGTGCAGCTGCACACAGAACATCACTCAAATCTACTGCAGCCCAGCTTGGTTTCTGGTGGACAGAAGAAATAATGTGGGACTTCAGTGCTGCAAACTTTGTATATCCCCACTGGGGTCACCTATTTCAGCACTTCCAAAAGGCAGCCAAACTGATTGCTTGCTTCAACCACCATCAAAGATCTCACCCCTTCCTATTTCAGCTGCAGGGAGCTGCAGTGAGTCAGGCTTGGGTGGAGGGGGGAGATCCTCCACCCAGATTGCCAGCTCAAGCTTGCCAGGGCTTTATCTTATGTTCTTAGGCAACATGTTAAAGTTCTGCTTCTGGAAGAGCTCAGGGTTAGACTCTTAGAGAAAAGCACAGTCCATCACCATCATGCACCAATGCCTGGCTGCTGCCTCTTCAGTCCTGGGTGGAGCAGGACCCTGAGAGACCCCCAGGTCTGTGCCTTAATGGAGCTGGCTTACATTTCATATGTGAAAGAGGTGGCACAAGGTTCATGAATAACACTGAGCATGGGAATATTCTCCCTGGGAGTGGGGCCATCTGTGCGTGTGCACAATTGCAAATTCGACTGGGAAGTCTGAGTGAATATGTAAAAATTCACATTTATGCACCATTACTTTTAGATGATACTGTCCACAAAATCAACATTTTGGAGCTTTCAGACCATTCTTAGCATTTCTCCCCTGCGCAGAGTGGCTCTGAAACAGATTCTGCTTGACTGGGATGTCTAGGCAGCAGGTCCCTGGCAGTGTATCTTTCTCTCCAAGAGCTGTGCCAGCTCCAAGACTGGTTGCTGGTACCTTCAAAGGATGAGAAGTTGGCACCTCCTTTGGCTCCTGTGCAACCAAGTGCTCTTTTTTCCCAGCAGAAAGATCTCTGCTTTCTGTCTTTGCCCTCGCCTGGGGCTGAGATGTCTTTATCACATTTACCCTGTGGGCACAGGAAGTGATATTATATAAGAAATAATGTTGCAACCCTACTTCTACTAATCATTGCCACTCCTACTGTAATAACAGACAGATGCAACATACACGATTCATGTTTCTATTATTTTTTGCTACAGTTTGCATGTGTTTTCCATTTAATTATGGTATATGAATTTCATCTCTCATTTTTTCCCTTCTTGCATTTAAAATTGAATTTGATATCTGTGATATATAGATAGGCCTGTGGTAAATTGTTTGATGCACTGTACACTCTTAAGTCTGTCTCTGCAAATCTCTTAAGTGCTCTGAATGTTTTCCAGTTTTGTTGGTGATGCAATAGCATCTGGGATAGTATTGGAGTAGTTTCTGCACAGGGCAGTGGAGTAGCTTGAGCATTTAAAGAAACTTTGCTTGACAACAGTACCAACACAAAAACCAATCACAATTTTTAGTTGTTAGAGAACTCTTTGCACCTTTCTGTTTCCAAGGAAATTGCAAAGGACTTTGCAGGAGAAGAAAGCTGAGGTGTACTGCTCAGTGATGACCAGGATACCATCAGCAGGGTAGTGACAGCACTGAAATGGGAACCAGATTTTTGTGACTGACCCACTCAGTGGGAAACATAACAATTCAGGCTTGAAGATCCTGTGGTGTGCTACTTGTCAGATCCTTTCTTTATCAACCTGTATTCCCATGTTTGAATTGAGCATGTTTTAAAACTTGAGAAAGGAGATTTCAGTCCAAGTTTTACATGAAAGAGGCCAGCTGAACTAGAGAGAAACAAAGAAAAACATTGCTAAATGCCTCTTTTTACATTAAAATAATAGTGGAAATCTTACTAACAGTGGGCTCTGCCTCATCTGTAATTTCCCTTGTGTTTCAGAAAGAGTTGAATTATCCTACTGCTTACCAAGAGAAGAAAAACAGCATAAGAATACTGGTTAATGGGCATGCTTTGGATTCACACTGGATCCTGGAAGCAGAATTGTCCCCTGTGAATGTAGAAGTATCATGGTAAGTCTCCTCAGGTAATAGTCAAGTCTTGTTTTTGTCTCAAGTGCAATGTCTGTCTGCAGTGTGTTCTACAGATCAATCAATCAACTGCAAATGACATGATTTTAAAACAATGGGTGGGTGCTTACTTAGTCCACACATAGCTCATAGAGGTTTTGAAGGCTTGATGCACTCTATTGAGTAAATAACTATAAATAAAACAGACTATTAAAACATCTTTAGATGTGCATTATGCCATCAAGCTATGCTGTTTGAAAAGAGCTGTGGTGTTTGGGAAAAATTAAACATTTTCAACAACTGTCCAAATACATATTTACACATAGTTTATGGTGTACAAAAGATATGTCTGTGACAACTCTTGGGCCCCAACAAGTTTTATTAATTATTCTTTGAATAAAGTATTTTTGGTCACTTAAACACTGCAAGTAGACAGGAGACAGCTAATCATAGGGAGAAATGCTGATTTCAAGGGAACTTGCAATTTACTTCTCCCACAACCTTTAGTAGCAAACGGCAAAATATTGATATGGGGCATATGGAATAGACCTGTGAGGGGAGAGGACAGAGCACTGTAGTTCATACAGGCTTTCAGTACATGTTTGTTCAGCCAGGTGAATAAAAAGACATTTCTCTTGGTGAGAGCTCTCCTGGTCAGTTCCAGCTGGAAATGATCAGCACTAGGGCTGTTATCACTGGAGTGTTTTTTCATTACTTGTATGCCGTGTAGGACCTGCAGATATTTTGGTATTCTGAGTTCCCTAGACACCAATATTAGTTGATTTCAGTGTCCTAATTCCTGTTCAGTCGATGAGGAGCAGAATCTGTGGGCTTCTGGCTTCATTGTTTAATGCAGGGCACAGTGTGATGCTTGAGAGACAAAATTTCTTTAGATAAGAAACTTCAGAGTAGGGACCTTACTCTCCTGCTTGCCTGTGATGTTATCAAGCAATAATCCTTGTTAAGTAAGGATTAATGTTCAAACATGATCATGCTGATGAAATATCTTTTTGGCTGCAGAGACCTGGCAGAGTCTCCCTCTGCTGCCTTTGGATGGTTTTAGAGACCTCGTTCAGATGAGCCACTTCACCTGTGAGTGAGGTGGGGGATCATCAGCTTCTGCCACGACCAAGAGGAGCATCTTGGGCTGAGATCTCACCTGCATCTAAGAATAATGCCTTACAAAAGCATCTTTTAGTTCTAAAGCTCTGAAACCAAGTTCTCTATCAGCTCTAAAGTTGTTTTTGATTTCATCAGCTTGTTTTATCACATGCTAGAGAGTGCCAGCGTTAAGAAGACTTGTCTTAAGCAATCCTCTTAGTGTTCCTGAGAGAGGTGGTTATAGTTTAAATATAGTGAGTCAATCTGTTGTCCATCTCTTATGGACAACTTGATCAGACCCCATGGGGCAAAGTTAATGGAGTCATGTAATATCTAAAAAGCCCCTTTAGCAGCAGCACTGTTTATTTTTCGATTGTACTGCTTATTTGCTAATTCCTATCTGATTGCAAAACTTTCTAGGTACTCTGATTTCGTTATCTGACTTGTTAGGAGTGAACATGGCCCTTAAGGACTCCTCTATTTTTGGACAGTTGTCAATTTTACCAATTAAAAGAACGCCTTTGGATGGTTATCAGAAGCTGGAGCTGAAAACATGTTTGCAATTACTGATGACATAGCTGTTTCTATTTGCTGCTCTCTCTTTTAATTCCCAAAAGTGATATTTTTTTTGGCAGCAGATATGAGAAAATATGTCACTGTGTATAATTACAAAATGCTGTTCGTTTCTGTCTTGTAACTGTGGGGGGTTAGTTGGTACAACACATTTGGTTCATTCTTGGCTCACTCAACTGCATGACACACATTTAAGTGTATTATTAATTGTCATGTTAATATTCATTATCATGTTAATTTCCACAGAATCATGTAATTCTGCATGCCTCCAAATTTATGTTCAAGGGTATGTGCAAGCATGAAAAAACCCCCACTGAATGGTTTCCTAGAACATTGCAATAAGCCACCAAAATCACCTTCTGAACATTTTCCTCTAGGACACCTGGGCTTTTTCAACAGATTTTCACCCCACCATGATCATGGCTACAAAACAAGATCTATTGTTGGGAATGGGCTTTGTACAAAGCTGCTTTAAATGTTCAGTGTGCTTTCAACCAGTTTCAAAATACAAATCCACAGTACTGGCTTTACTTTAATTTCCTAGGTTGCATCTGCCATCTTATCAGAGCAATCTGACTGCACATTGCTCTGAAGAAGCTGCATAATATTTTCAGTGGCCTGGATTTTTCACTTGATATACAACAAATATATGAATAATGGCTCTATAAGTATCTGTGAATTCTTCAGAAGATTGTTTTGCAAGAGAAAGTTCTAGTTAGAAACAGTAACTTAGAGTAAATCTGTGGGATAAGAGGTGAACCTCAATTTAAATGACTGCTGCCTGGGAATTTGAAAGAAAAGGATATAAATATTTTGAGGAGCACAGAGTCCTTAAATCAGTGAGATTTTTATTGGTTTTGAATGTGTATCAGACTTACAGTGCATGTTGTCTATATAAGAGAAAAGACAGCACATAATGTCTGAAGTGCTCTATTTTTTTCCAAAAAATAGGCTCATCTGAGAAAAACTTGTCCATTTTCGAGGCATCAGTTACAAGGTGAGTGCACCTGCTGCGGTTTGTAGATGGGAAGAAAAGACGACACAATGTCTGAAGTGCTCTATTTTTCCAAAAAATAGGCTCATCTGAGAAAAACTTGTCCATTTTCGAGGCATCAGTTACAAGGTGAGTGCACCTGCTGCGGTTTGTAGATGGGTGGGTTCTTTTCTCTAATCCTGGTGAAGTTTTAAGAGGTTTCAGATATGTTCATGATCCACTTTTACTTCTCTTTCTTAGAGAACTCCCAGGCTTAGGCAGAAGAGGGGGTGGCTGTGGCTTCTTGCCTCGGCTGGGGGTTGTCACTCTGAGCAGGCGTAAGGCCATGGCACGAAACCAGGGTGGGGTCGCAGCACTGGAAATTTTATTGTAGCTTAAAAATAGCTCCCTGCCAAAGTCCTCACGGAGGAATGTATTTCAAGGTCAGTTACACTCCACAATCATCTCAGAACATGCTTGTAAATAAATTGTATGGGCTTAGCTCTGCTGTCATTGACATTTCCCCCCAAGTAAATGCCAGGCCTGCTGTGGAGAAAATTCCACTGACTGAGAGCCTCACACCTGAGCAGGCTTACAGCTTCTCTTCTCAGCTGGGATTTAGTAGTCTCGGTTCTAGGTGGCAGCAAAGCCCTTCTCAAACTCTCAGAGTTGCTTGGGGTACACCTGCCCTGGGTGGTGGAGAGCAGAAGTACCCGAGTTACTGCTGGGCAGGGCGGCTCCGCGAGCAGCGCGGCTGCAGCAGCCTGCCCAGAGAGCAGGGCTGGAGAGCAGGGCACTGCTGCTCCAACAGGCACTGCTGCCTCTGCTGGGGCTAGCAGGGCTCTGGGCACAGCTGCCTCTCAGAGACAGCCTGTTTATTTGGGCAGAAGTTGCTTATTTTTCTGTGCTGCAGCTGCACTTCCCAGGGTAGAACTCTGCTGCTCCGTGTCTCTCTGTCTGGTGGCAGTGTAGGCAGTTTCAGGTACAGGGGAACTCTTAACCAAGCATTTGTGTATTTGCCTACAACAGCCAGCTCTGCTCTCATAAGGAACACCAGCACACTGCTATATTACTATTATTGTTATTATTATTATTATCATTATCATCATCATCATCACCAACAGCTTGTATTCAGAACTCATAAGTCTTGTTTTAGGATAACAAATCTGCTTGAACACAGACATTTGGAAGTGTGAATTAATATATTGATAATATGTTAGAAAGGATGTTTTGGAGCTTCTTTCTAAACAGAAATTAATATTTTATCTGAAAATAGTAATGGGAAAAAAATGTGTAGTCTAGCAAGGTATATCATTTAGACTTGATGATAGAATAATTGTTTTCCATCAAGCAAACCAAAGAAGAATCCATAATAAAATTTTACAAGTTAGCTGCCACCAAGAATAAACTCAAGAGCACTATATGAAATGAATTGTGTGTTTTAACTGAATCTTCTCTCAGGACAATAACTCTAATGTAGAGCCAAGGTCTGAAGAGGTCACCTGCAGAAAACCCTCCTGGGGCATTTCAGAGGAGAAAGGAAATATTCTTCTCCCTGTCAGGTTCACTTCGTGTCCTAATATGTCTGAGGATGTGCATTGAAAACATAATCCACAGCCACCATTCTGAGTGGGGGTTTAGATAACAAGGGTCATTAAGAAATCTCTAAGGATGACAAACTTAACCCTGTATGAACTTAAGGGCCATATCATGCTACTAATGCAAAGAGTAAGTCTGGTTGATTGTAATTGTGACTGAACTAAAATGTCACTTATCATTAAGATCAATTTCTCTTTTTTTAAGAATTGAAACATTTCTCTAAAAATATGTGTAAGATCATAACTGGTATCTAGTGAACATAGTCTGCACTGCTCTTTTCCAGTGCTACGTGAGAGAACATCTGGATTTCCATATGTTTCCAAATGTTTGCCATATCTCACATTGTGTTTGCAGGGCCAGGGTGTGGCAATGCAGTGCAGGATCCCAAATTAAAATACCTATTGAGAAACTTCTACATTTGTCATCACAAGCATCCAACTCCACAACTCCTGCTCAGGCCCTTCGGGTGAGCCAGGGTGTATCGCGACTCTTCCTGCGCCCAAAGGATGACGTGTGCTCCCAAAGAATGTGCAACACTCCTGGCTCTGAGTTCAGAACCAGGGGTGGCTGAGCTCTCAGCATGCTGCCCCTCTGCTACCTGTGCTGGGCTGAAATGCTCCAAACCTGTTCTCAGGGATTCCCATGTTAGCTGTGTGGAATGTCAGGATGTGCACATGTTGGGATGGTTGGGCACTGAAACAGGCTCCCCAGGGCAGTGGTCACAGTCCCAAGCCTGAAAGAGCTCAAAAAGTGTTTGGACAAGCTCTCAGGCATGTGTGGGATTGTTGGGGTGTCCTGTGCAGGGCCAGGAGTTGGACTTGATCCTTGTGGGTTTTTCCCAGATCCGCCTATTCTGTGGTTCTGTTATTCTGTGTGCCATATACAGTGGAGAGAGTTTGAAGTTGCCCTGCCAGTGGCAGTGTGAGAGATTCCTGACTTGTTGGCACTATAAAAATCATTCCCTGAGCATTCTCAGACCTTTATCACAATGGAAAATTTATGCCTGAATGAAGCAAAGATGCCACTTTAACTGCTCTTGCCCAAATTCCCGCACTCCCTCCTACAGGCATGCCTTTGCGCCTTGAGCCTCATGTGAATTTTTACAGCTCCATTCACTGGGATGTCATCAATTTGAACAATTACAAATTACAAAGATATTAAAATATCCAAGCAGCACTAGTTAGAAGTCAGCAAGGATGAGAATTATCACATTCCTTGTTCTCCAGTCGTGTTGAGGCTCCTTGCTTGGTTTCTCTGCCCCTAGTCTTGCATCAGGGAGTCAGGATGTCAAAGTTCTCATTTGCATTTTAGCTTCCTTGAACTCCTAAAAGCGAAGGAACTTGGCTAAGCATAGAGTTTCGGTATATTGTGTTTACTTCAGGGGATTTAGGTGCTTACAGAAAATGCTGGGTATATAGAAACTAACTACAAGGATTATGGGTAAATTTTATTTAGCTATACTTCTCAGTTCCATTCAGTGAGTATTGGATTAATTTTTGGATTTCTAAACTGTGGGTGTCTTTTGTTTAAAGTAAAAAAAAGTTTAAAATATCTCTTGGGTGCCATTCATGGACAAGAATTATAGAAGAAGCCTTCTTTGCTTTACAGTGAATTCAACTCTGTCTATTTCTCAGTAGGGTCCATCTTTGTGTTGCTGTGCTGGTGTCAGGGTGCTGCAGATGACAAAGCCATTTCCTTTCTCCTGGGATCAGCATGAATTTTTGTCTCATTGGATTATTTTTTCTCAGAAGGCTTTTTTTTATTCCTGATGATTGGATGCACTGGCTTTATGGCTTTTTCTCCCCACTTGGTTTAGTCACATGACACAGTTACATTAATTTTTAGAGTGGTCCATGGTGCAGTATATAACTGAAGGCACTGAACAGCATAGTACCTTTGGGATGTTAATAGACACACAGTCACCAGGGAGGACAAATTCAAGTCCCTGGGCGACAGGAAACCCTGTTTTTTGGAGGGTTTCTGGTCTTGTGATGAAATAGGTTCAGGCTAATAATCCTCTCAGTACAATAAATCAGGGGTGATTTCCTTGAACTCAAAAGGGGTCACAAAGAGATAAAACTAGTGACAGGAGAATCATTGCCCTTCTCTCTTAAGAGCAGACAGTTGGTTAAATTCCTTTGCTCCTCAGACAGTGTTGAATGTCATGCAAGTGATCATTGGGTCTGTGGGGAGTGGGATACAATCAGGATGTTAATGTGCTGGCAGTGCAGCTGTTTCTTCCCTGGTGTCTCCCGTGCTTTGACTCACCTCTGCTGCCAAAGAACTCCTTCAGTACTCTTCATTTGTAACTCAAATCTTTACCTGCACACATTTGCGACTGAGATTCGTAAGAGACAATTTTATGCTTGAAAGGGGGAGAATTACTTTACAACTATACCTGTTGTCTGTGCAGCTGCTTGACAACCTCACAAGAATTCCTTTCATTCTGTGCCTCTGGTTCTCTTTGTCAGTAAGAAACAGAACATGTATAGTTCTAAGTGCTGAAAATCAAATACTGGCGTGATATATTAGCTTTTCTCTACCCCCCTCTGCCCCACCAGTGTTCTAAATATGGCTCTACTTTGAAATTAAGTGCACTACAGAATATTCAGTTGCAGCACATTGCTGGCATACAGTTTATAAATTGTTAGTGTTTGGCAGCCCTTGGTTTTTAAATTCCTACTGATCACAAGTAGCTGGCACTAATCAGCTCCAATAGAGTTACGTTACTGTGTACCTTCTTAAATGGCTGGAGTGGAGATATACATCTAAAACCCAATATATAATAGCCACATGTCAGAAACACTTTACTCTGAGCAGGGTTTTTATTTTACTTTTTACATCTCTCACATTTTACATCTGGTTCAACAGTTCTCAAGGAAACTACATCTGATGTGATAGCAGGAGATCTATATCACACATCTCAAAACCTGCCAGAAATTCAATTTAAATATAGTTTTGGACAGAGTAAAAGAAGTATTATTACTATCAGATGTTTGGGCAGTGAGAAGTTGAGCTCCATCCCCCCCTTGGTCTTTTTTCATACAGAAGGAAATCATAATGTGAAATCCTAGTTGTGCTAAAACTTGTGAGAGCTTCGCTGCTGATTTCAGTCCTCAGTTTCACCTTGCAGCTGTAAGGTACCTGCCAAGTTCAAGCAAAAGTGTGAGGCTGGAGCAGCAAAGACAGACCTGGCCCTTTGCACAGATGAGCAGTGTTTGAACTGGTTTCAGTGGGGATAACTGTCAGCTGTACTGTGTCAGACTTCAGAGAGACCTTCTCCAGTATTTGGAGCCACAAAACGTTTGTGCAGGGCAGGCTGGTTCTCGTAGATGTCACTCCATTCCAGTTTATTTTCATGGTGCAACTTTAGAAATATCTGAAATTTCAGATAAGCTAGTTCAAGTCAGGAATTTTATTCCTTGGTCATCTGAGAGCGCACATGCCACCTGAACTGAACTTCTGAGGTTTGTGAGAATCATTCACCAGCAGTGGATGGAGAACACGACCCGCTGGCTGCGTCTGTCACACATTAGCACCTCCCATGCCTCCTCTGAAGGGGCTGCCTGCACGTCCTCCACACATGGCACTGGGCTTAGTTGCTTGGAAATAGGAGAGCATGTGCATTAAGGAGGTGTAATTTTAAGACTGTTGGTACTTGGGGTTTGCTGAAAACCAGACCTTGTTGATCCAGGGTACTGAGACCTGCTAAGCAGAGCTGTCAGTCAAACCTTGGGAATGTGTTCAGCCACTTGTGTGTCAGCAGTGTGCCAAAGCACCTATGCATGTGTCCCAAAAGCCTTTTGTTCTTGTGCTGGGTATGTAAGAGGTGTCACTGTGTGAGTCTGGGGCTGCCTGAGCAGGCAAACCAAGACTCACTCCTTTGTTAGGATCCTAATTGTTATTATTTCATCACTCCAGAGCCCTAATGAAGAGCAGGGGCCTCAGTGTGATGGACTCAGTGAGAAGATGAACTTCTGCTCCGGCTTTGAAGCATGCTATGTTTTTGTCTCATTACTTCTGATCATAATCCAGCACCAAAAGAAATCAAAAGCTGTCTCTGAATTCATTGAGGGCTCAGGGCACACGAAAGCTCTCAGGAAATGCTCAGTGTGTTGTCAGGATCAGGCCTGTAATGTGTAACTCCAGCCTAGAAAACTCATTTCCTTTGAAGCTCAGTTGAGTGTTACTACTACACATCAGCATGTTGCACCACACAGAGTATATCAAATTTGATGTCATTTTTTTTCTTCCTTTTTCCCTGGGAACCTGTAAATATCCTTTGGTAGCAAAACCAAAGAGGAATAAATTCTCCTCGATGTATTTACAAATGTGAGAAGCTTTTCAAGTTGTATTTGCAATTCTCTTTCTTGCAATGACCTCTATTTTCATAATCCTTCATGGAATATCATGGTTTAAAGAGCTTTCTCTCCCTGCTGTTTTTGTTAAAAGGTTTTTGGTGTGATATTTGGGAAGTCAAATTCTGCATTTAAATGTTGTGTTTTCACAGATATAAATGAAAGAGGCCATATTTATCTTTTTTCCCCTCTTTTCCCTTTTTCTGAGAACATCAAGCAATTCTACTTTTCTACATGTATTGTTAACTAAACCGTGAGAGCATACAGCACCTTTAATAGTAAAGCAATTGTGATTACATCTTGCTTGTAATTACATTTATTTCCTCACATATGTCCAAAAAGGCAAGCATTAGTTTGGCCTGTATAGGCATGTGCTAATGGCAAGAAAATCATCTGGCAGCTTGACAGCAAGGAAAATAGCTTACAGTCGCTTAAAGTCTTTCATGTCATGGACACTTGCAAAGACTCTGAGCACTCAGATTTTCGCTCGCATGCTTTTAAAATTGATTGCGTTCTGAGAGAGGGGGAATTTGCAATGTGCAGTGGATTTGCATCTAAATAATCCAAATATGAAGAGATACAATTGGCAAGGTACGGGTGTGTGATGACAAATTTGAGGAACCCGGTGGTGGCACTGTACAGGAGTAATCTACAAATATCCCTGGGCCCCTGCTCCTGTCTGTGTTAGCCTGGCAGAAACGCCTGCAGCTGTCCAGGGAAAAAAGGTGGGCAAATAAAGAGTCCCTGGTATGTGGAAGGACTCTGAGGCTCACTTGTATCCCACACACCATCTCATTGATTTTATTGACCTCTGTGTACAGGACAGTGCAATCCAGAGTGACCCAGGGGGTCACAGCTTGTTCCTGTAGGACCAGGGCTGTGCCAGCCCCAGCATTCCTGGCACGGGTTGACCACACTGGTGAGTGTTCTTTTCAATTTTTAACAAAAACCTGGCTAGAAATTTTACAGACTGATTTATGACAAAGCTGAAATCACATGCGTTTTCTCAGTGCAGAAAAGTTTCTTATTGGAAATGATAAATGTTACAAAGTTCTTCAGAAGCTGCATGTAATGTTAAATGGAGCAGTGTCCCAAATGCTGTCTGGGAAGAGTGAGAATTTTTCAGTGTCTATATAAACCACAAACTAGGGCAATTTGCAAGATTTTCTGAAACTAGAGGTACATTTGTATTTTCTGTCTAGTCTGCTAGCCTTCTGATACTATGGCTACCAAGAATCTCAACAAATTCACTGGATTAAGTGAGTGCCTAGCCAGAACAAGCACACTCACAGAAGGTATGCCTTGATCCCATGTTAGCTCTTTCCCAGATTTGTGGGCACTCACATTTGATTGCCAATATCCATGGTCTGTGACTACACAAATTATGTCCACAGCTGTGGACTTAACTGAAAATTTGCTCCAGAGTCGGTAAATACATGAACAAATCTGCACACTCAACCCAAGCACAATCTTGCAAATATGGCAAATTTGATATTTTTCTTGCTTAGCTAGAGAGAAGCCGCTGCATAAATCCTGTAGCCCTGTGCCAGACAGACAGACAGACAGGCATGCAGGTATAAATGGTGCAGCTCCACTGACAGGGCTGGTGGTCCCTGAGTTCCCGTTACCAGATGAGCCCTCTGGTTTTTGCTGAGTAATTGGGCTGGGCAGCCAGGGGAGCCAAACTAATGCTCCTACAAAGCTGGCTCAGCCCTCCAGGCAGCATGGGCAAAGAAACAGCAAAATAATAATGGAAGTTTCTCACTGGGTCTGTTGCTTCTGTCTGCAAGGGTCAGGCATGTTCTAGTTTTCTTGGGGCAATAAAGCTCCCAGTGAGTCCTGGTCCCTCATCCTTTAGGTGCTCACAAAATCATTAAATCTTTTAAAATGGATTTTTTGAGGGTAGCTGTGTGACACTATAGGACTAAAACCTAGGGATTTTTGTTTGTTTAGTTTAGCTTTTGGTTCTTTGTAGCTTTATTGTGTTTATTATTCCCTGACTCTCAAACCTCCCATTGAACTGAAATCTTTCAACAGCAAGAGCACTGAGTAACTATAGCTAGTAAATATCATTTACCTCCCAGAAAAAAGAGCCTAAGCTTTCTCCTCCAAGCATTATAAGGAAGGTAGGATTATTATTTGCCATGGAAATGGGAGAATGGAGGAATTAGTATGGACACAATGATAAAATGAAGGTTCATGATCTGTGTTACGCTACAGAAATGAGGTTTGTCTTCTGGCTAGAATCGAGGTCAAATTACAACATCTGAGTACTGGGTGAGGAAAAGCAGAAGGTTGGACTGGAGTTTTGATCTGTTCTCTGTTCCAGAATTTAGGGAGTGCTGAGAAATCTGCCTTTAGATCTATTTCTGTATTTGTATGCTGTGTCTCTAGGAGTTATATTAGCTTTTTCCATCCTGCCATCTGAAAATGTTAATATTTAGGGGATTTTTTTTCATAAAAACAGCAACAACATGGAAAATATTAACAGGAAACATTTTAGATGCTACAGGAAATTACAGCTGTGAAGAGTGGTTCATATTGTATTAGCAGGAGATTGAATGAGGCTTCTTCCCATCCAAACTTTTAAATCTGTGAAGAAGAGGAATGTCTCTGGCTCCATGTACCTGTTCTGAAGGGGTATGAAATCTGTAAAGAACAGGTATGATTCTTTGCTTTTCTTTCACTGGCCTGGGAATCAGCAGAAACACTTGAGTTGTGCAACAGCTGAGTTGCACAGTTGTGGGAATTGTGAATGAGGTGACAGAGATGTCACTGCTGACAGCCTGATATCCCAGCTGGGGTGCTGTCAGTGGGACACATGTTTGGCAGGCAGTGTTTGGTCCTGGTTGGAATCCTGCTTTCCAAAGTGGAGGATGCTCTGTCCTCTCTCCTTCCCATCAGGGAGGGCACTTGGTATTTCAGAGCTGCTCTCATTAAACAAGGGTTCTGTAGAGCTCACCTGAGTCTCCACCTCACCAGCAGCCTAGACCTGGCAAGGTCAGAGTGAGCAGTGAAGCTCCCTGAGCTGCTGGTGAATGAAGCAATGCTGAACCTTGTTTTGTTAGCTAGCTAGCATAGGTCTAGTCTGGTTCTTTCATTATTAAATTTGCAGTTTCGCAGTTTATATCCCTCAAGCATTGTGGTGACTCACACTGGGTGACTGCGCTCAAATCCTGCCTGTGTTCCTACAGGTGAAGTTTATTTTCTGACTTTGATTGACCTAGAGAGAGCATTGCTGCTGGAGGAGCCTTTCCATGAGAAGAAAAATGCTGCTGGATGAGCCTTTCCATGAGAAGATGATGTGCTTGTTTCATCCTGTTTAGAAATCTCCTTAGACTCCATGCACAGAAATAGTAACAACAACAACAAAATAATTGAGGTTATCTCAAGAGAAATTCTCTACTCTGGGAAATGCATAAAATCAGAGATAACCTCTGCTGCTGTTGTGTCTGTCCTCAGGCCTGCAGGGAACCACCAGGTTCCTGTGAGCTGAGCAGCTTTGCTCTGTTTGTGGTCTCAGATCAGCCCCTGCCCTGGAGAAGTCAACCCTGGCAGTGTGGGAGTGTGTTCTGTTCTCCCCAGCATTGCCTGCCCTCCCTCAATATCCACTTTGCACACCCACAGGATGGCAATCCTTCCACATGTGCTCACATCCACAGAAGTGCTGTGCTCTGCAGGCTGCAAGGGGTGGATATACCTGATCTACCTCTAACAAATCCCCCTGTGCTCAGAAATAAAACAAACCTCAGAAGGGGGAAAAGTTCCCTCTTCTGAAATGATCAGATGCTATAATACGGTTTCTTTTGAGCCGAATTCTGTTGGGCAGACAGCTATTGATGTGGTCCCCATTGTCACTTAGGTATTTGGTCTATTCATTATTTTCATTTATTATTGTTTATGTAGAGCACCTAGAGGCCTGTGATAAGCAAATTTCACCAAATAAAATAAGCCAACTTTAGTAGGTCAATTAGCATTCTCCAAAGATCATACATTTTAGCAGGGAGTTTTGCAGTTTACTGCTGTTGTCTAAGGAGAAAATGGAAAGTAGACCCCTCCCCTTGTATACAGTGTCAAATATCAGCTCTAAATTAGAATGTTACTTATTCTTACTGAAACTGGGAATTCATTGTATGAGCTGAGTAATCACAATGCTGTGCTCTGATTTTGTTTCTGGAGATCATCCAATGAAAACAGCCTGTTGTTACCTACTGGGAAGAAATAGGCAAATACAGCCATGTCTCTAATATGTCTACACAGTATATCAGTGCTCTCCAGGTTGCTTGCTAAATGCAGCTTAAGAATGTTCTAAGATACAGACAGGGAGATTTGTAATGGGACCTGTGCAATGTATTTCTAGTGTCTGCTGTTTTCTTTATAGTTATAAAATCAATAAAACTTAGGTGTACCAAAGCATATAGCTCAGTAATACAGTGTTGCAGACTGATGGAGGTTGTTCTGATGGGGAGTTTATTTTTGATTTGAACATTAAGAGCTTCCTGCTTTCCCTACTTACACAACTTCTGACTGTTTTATTACCCCCTTCTCTTCATTTGGTTGTCCTCTTCTAGGGGTCCTCTGAGATGCTTTTTCCTCGGCTTAAGTTCTCATTGGCTCTTTCATGATACTTCTCTGCTTTAAAATCTTTCCTCATTTTAGGTATGTTTTGATTGAGATTTTTGCAATACTGAGAGTCCTAACATAAAACTAATTAATTGGTAATACTGCTGCAGCAGACAGTGCAGTATTTGTGTGCCATGCTATATTTGTGCCTTTCATCCCAGTTTATGCAGGTTGACCTGCCTAGAGTTGGGTATTTTTACCTTTATATCTCTTAATCTTTACTCAAAGTTTTGCTGACTTCTAGGTCTTGACTTGAGCCTGTTGATGTGTCTCTGGTTTGCTAATTTAGACTTGAACTTCCTGCCAGACTCAGCCAGACCAAGCCATATGAGCTGTCTACCTTCATAGTCTGCCTCATGTCTGCTCTTCCAGTTGGCTGTGTTTGGGAAGCTGACCTCCCCAAGAACCCACCTCAGAAACTGGATTTTTTTTTTTTTGGGCTAAGTTTGTTCTGACCAAAGAAGTCACAGAAGAGGTGCGTGAGTGGGCAGAACAGCTAGGAGAAAATAAGAGGGAGTAGCAGGATTGGATTGCTGCTGTCCAGGCTCCTGGGTTCAAGGGTTGTGGTCCTGTGTGAATTCCAAATGCACACAGAAATGCAGTGTGGGAGGAGCTGTGCCAGGGGATGGGCAAATCTGAATGCTGGGGTTCAAAATCTCCAAATTAGATACACAACAACCAATTCCATCCCAAGAACATCAGCTACATCCAGCTGCTATTACTGCATCAAAAGACTTTTAATCCTAGAATGTTTTCACATTACCCAGCCTAAGTCAAAACAAAACTGAGAACCAACTACCACCCTAAATCTAGTGAGGTTTTATTTAATTTTTTTCCTGGGATATAATGAATTAAACATAGTATGAAATGCAAAAAGGTTACATTGAGACATATAATATTTGAAGGTTTAATTCATTTTTCTAGTGTATAAGACACAAGGCTATTAAATTTTTAAAGCAGTGATCTCCTGAAGTCCCTACTTTATGAGGGCTTTCTTCATAAAGATAAATGGTTTCCTTGCCAAATCAAATGCAGATTTGAAACAAATTAAGTTAATGTTCAATGGTACAAGGTAGAATGGATGGGGGAACTGTTTTATTTTGCATTGTAATAACCATATACACCTAAATCAATAGCTGTGGAAAAAAAAGGCAATAATATCACGTAACTGCAGGAAATGAAATATAGTGAGATGAAGGGGGGAGCGGGTTGCAGAATGAAAGGATTTGTATTGGAATAATGACATTTCATTAAAAAGGGAAGGAGTGCTATTGAAT